CCCCCCCCCCCCCCTCCAACCCCTTCCTAGAACTTAAAAAAGCGATTTTGGATTGGGACAAGTAAGTTTTGAGACCTACATGTGTCTTACAATAGGTTGTCAAGCCCTCACGGTACTAGGATGCTGGTTAGCCAGGAATTTTTTTTTCTTTTGTATAATACAGTATATAACAATTACTTCACTAACAAATAATTGTTTGAATTGTAATAGCAAAAATTTTAAACATACCGTGCCTTTTACGAATACATAATCTACAGGTAGTACAACTCTTTCAGTTGCTGATATAATACTATATTAAGTTGTATACATAAAAACATGATTCATACAAAAACAATATAATCATTCCCATTTAGGTACAATGGAGAGGTGGGAGATGTGGTTGTTGCACGGGTGATAGAAGTTGGGCAGAGGCGCTGGAAGGTGGACACCAACTCCAGACTGGACTCTGTCCTCATGTTGTCATCAGTTAACTTGCCTGGAGGAGAGCTGGTCAGTTCGATGAGTGTGACAGCAATAAGTTTACTCAGCAGGATTTATGGTGAAAAAGAACAGATTCAGTGTAGCTAGTATGACAGTGACGGGTTGCATTTCTTTGTTTTTTTTTTAGTTTATGAATTCTTTACTTTTCAGAAACATGGTGTTTGGAATATTAAATTTTGTACTAACACAGATAAGATGCTGACTTTAACAATGTAACTGTTTTTCACCATAAGAATGAATACTTCGTATCACTGCATGCATGTATTTGAAAATGAAAATATTGACAGTTTAATCAGTTATAAACAAATTTACATTACAGAGTCTAGTGAATAGGTTCTCGCTTGTACTTTTTTATTTGTCATACATGTACTGTAGATGTCAGTTTTATGCACTTCACGGTCATATTGGTTACTATTCTTGTACCCACTGAAGACAGGATCTAGTTCTCCAATTTTAATGTATTACTGTAGGATAATTGGACATATTTTGTATTTCAGAGGAGGCGTTCTGAAGAAGATGAGAGAATGATGAGGGACTACTTACAGGAAGGGGATCTCATTAGTGTATCCTTGTCACTGTTTACTGTTTGAATACTTTGTTGATGAGCTTGAGCAACTAGGCTGAAAATCGTTTCTTATGCATGCTCTGTAACAGAGTTGTGAAGTATGGGGATATATATTTAGTTCTTATGTACTTTGAAAAAACTTGAAAGTGTTTAATATATATATTTATTTCTTTGTTTTCTGTGTTCTTGTGTTATTTTGTCCCCTTGACTGGTTCTCTCAGGCTGAGGTGCAATCTGTGTTCTCAGATGGTTCTTTGTCTCTACACACAAGGAGTTTGAAATATGGAAAGGTAAGGTGGTGTCTCACGAAATATTGCTTTTAAAAAAGTTGCAGTTTCATTTCTGAAGTACTGGAATTAATTTTTGAGGTATTTATTTGGAAAGAGTCTCAAAAAGAAGTAAGGGCTGAACAGTCGTAATTGGTTATGGTCTGGTTGAGTGGAGCATGCTTGATATGACCCATCTTTGTATACCTCACAATCATTCAGATTTATCAGTATTATCACATGATGACAGGGGACTACTAAGGGATTAGATTTACTGTGTATCTTTGGTCAGTATATGTATAATCAGACCTCTAATAGTATTGAAAAATGTCAGCATAGTTTTGTATTCCTTTACAAATGTATGAAAAATATTTCAAAGACATTGTAAAAGAGATGTGTCTCCATTTTAGCTCGGCCAGGGTATACTTCTGAAAGTGTCCCCATCCTTAGTAAAGAGGAGAAAGACCCACTTCCACAACCTTCCTTGTGGGGCCAGTATTATCCTAGGCAACAATGGCTATGTTTGGATAGCTCCCATCCTCAACGAGGACACTGAAAACACAGGAGGGTTTATACAGAACTTGGAGGTTTGGTTTAACCTGTATGATGTTTTACTAATTGTAATTTGTAACGTAAATCATTAAAATTATTTGCCATTATTGTGTCATTTGTAGTGATCAGCACTGAACATAACATTATTATTATTATTATTATTATTATTATTATTAGACAAGTTCTTTAAAGGATAGTTATGGATATGTAAATATACAGGAGAATGATGCTTATACCCTGAGTCAAATAATACAAAAATAGCTTTTAAGTAAAGTCTTTATCCATAATTCCAGCCAGTGGCAGCAGTGGACAGAGAAGCCATGGCCAGACTGAGGAACTGTGTGTTAGCCCTGGCAGAGCACAAGATGATGCTGTTTGACACTAGTGTGCTGTATGCCTATGAGGAGTCTACCAAGTACACTGTGAGTATAGTCAACAAGACCAGCACAAACTACAAATCAAAATGTGTCTTTGGCTTCAAACCGAAAATTAGTTAGTTTCCATCAGGGATAAATCATTTAAGTACAGTAGTAAACTGTGATAAAGCGAAATTTGTCTCATTTATACACATCTTACTTTTTTGTCATAAATATCTAGTTTTCTTATTCAATTGCCATATCAACAATTTTTTTTTTTATGCACCCTCATTGTGACTCTCTACCTGGGGCTTAATTGTTGTTACGTAGTGTTATAATTTTTACCAAATGTCAAGTTGAAGGAAGTAATTAATCTGATAACATTACTTATGCAGACCCTGTATGATGATACTTTCAGGTCAAAGATTTACTAAAACCAGAAATCATGGATGAAGTAGTTGAGCTGACAAGACAGAGACTTGAAGCAGAAGGGTAGACATTTTGGAGCACTAGGGTGTGGTGCAAGGATGTCAATACTATGGAAGAGTATGCAATATAAGTGCTGAGCAATGAAGTGAATGCTGTGAAAGAGATTACTCTAAATAGTTGGTGGGAGAAGTGTCTCTCTGGAGTCACAGTGAGATAGCTGTGGTAATGTAAGAATTTTCTTCAGAGCAGGATGTCCTCAAGGTCAGAGAGGACTCACAGAAGACAATGTGGACTGCACTTCAGAGTTAGTCGAAGGAAAATATTATAATGGTGGCAATACTGACCCAGCAAACCTGTGCGCACTAAGCCATGTGGAAAAAAAAGCATTGTCATTCAGATGAAAAATGAATTTTAGAATGTTTTACGTCTATGTGATGAAATATTTCAGCAGCTGAAAGATGGCTTGCCACACCTATATCTCAACATAAGTGTGTGGCAATCCATCCAGTCACTGTAAGTATTGGAAAGACACTTTGGGGGCAGGGGGGCTGCTTGTATTTATAAACAAGGCAGCAAAGCTGTCAAATGTACAGGCAAAAAAAAAGAAAATGATGCAAAATAGGTCATTTTGTCAATTTTGATGCAATAATAAATAATGCTTTTAATGCACAGTCAGTCAACACTGAATTTTAATCATGCACACCAGGTAACATGATCAATAACCGGAGGGGATCCAGAAATATTTTTTAACAGTATTCCAAAGTATCTTTGTTGATCCATCCTCCGTTTTGATGGTCTTCCAACAGAAAAAAAAATAGATACCTGTCAATATAAACTTAAAAATCTGTCTTCCGGAAGACCCAGAGGATGGTCTCAATCCACCCCTTCAGAATGATTACAGTTTCAGGACCATGAGAGTTCAAACTACATGATGAAAGTCCCAATATTTGCAAAATGATGACAGTGCATAAAATAATATTACATAATGTTTAAAGACATAAATACCAATACACTAAACCGCTTATGTGGAAATACAGAAAATGTGCAGAGCCTAAGGCGGATGGGAGTTTTGGAGAGCCATTTTTATGAAGTGCCTGTTGATTCAACTTGCAGTTGGTAAAGTGGAACATGGATAAAAATGCTGTCAAGTGTATATAATTGTAAATAATAATAATAATAAACAACTTAAGTATAATGTGTATACATATATTTATTGATCATTCTAAAAAATCATTTCTCTAAATACATTCACATTCCATTTACACTGATGTTAGCCAGTTTCACGAGTAGTTGTCGTAAATGTATCCCATGAAATTTGAGTATTGCACTATATGGAGGCAGTGGCATAAAATAACCTGTCATCTGATGAAATACTCATGATTACTACAACAATTCTAATACAAAAGTTGCCTCTGAATGTGAACCTTTTAGTCTTACTATTATAAAAAATTGGTCTCACTGTGATATGCCAAGTCTAGGTCATCAGCACTATAAAAACACTTGTATATTTTATATAATTTGCCCAGACAACAGTTACTGTAACACTATATAGAAATTATATCTGAATACTAATGTGGTGCCATTTATATCTATCTGGCACCTGCATAATGGAAAATTTTGTTGGAAAATAATAGAAATATTTCATTTTGCATTAAGGAAATTCTCACTTTTAACAGCGAGGTATTCTTAGATTCTGCTAAAGAATCAAATATTGAAACGAAAATAAAGCATTTTGACATAAAACTACAGAGAGGAAAAATATCACTTGTTTTATAAAGAAACTGCTTAAATAACAATAATGCATGCATGTATTTACAAAATAAAATGGTTTAATGTCACAAGTTTTGCTCTCCATATCAAATTTGTTGACTACACATTGTATTACAATCCTTGAATGCACATAACGATTAACCTGTTGGCAGGATAATTTTCAGGAATGTAAAAAAAACATATTTTGCCTTTTAGGTAATCTATGAAATATTGACCACTAGAGAGAGGTACTTTCATCTCTTCCATCATTTTCTTTGCAATATGAACTGAATGTCCCCCAAAAATGTGTTGACAGTGACCTACATGTCAAAACGCCTGGTGCCACATCACCCTGGCCTACACTCTAAGATTCCATACAAAGTTCATATTGAAACTGCTAAAATACCAATGGGCAGAATTGTGTCAGATGTAAAAGATCTCATTTCAAACTGCATCGATTACAGCATAACCGACTCCAGAAGCTCATATGCATGTTGCCATTATTTGTGATATATATCATGTATGGACAATGTGTGGAGGTACGTTTATAATACCCCCTTACTAGGAATCTTTCCTGTAGAAAGGATACTAAAATAAGAATTTTCCTATTTCTAGATATGTCATTATGCATTTGAAATTGTTCTTTTGATATTTATAACTTGGTGTGTCTGCACAATTTCGACCTCAAACAAGAGATACACAAATGCAAGTTATGTGTCAATCTCAAAGTTAACATGAATCTATACATGATGTGGTATATTTTCTAGAAAACTGCATATCTGCTTGTTAATTTTCATAGACAGAAAAACATCACAACCGCACATGTATATAGCACATACTCATAAGCACAGTAAGTACAAATGGGCAAGCCAATCATCAAAAATATGCAACACCCTAAGATTTTTACATATTAAATAACCAGAGCATATTGAAACTAGATATAAATGAACTCAATGCGAAAGCATAGAATCTGATCACATCTTGATCATCTGCACCTCAGTGTCTGACTAGATCAGAAACCCATATTGAGCACATAGGACTCTTAGGGAAATATGTATTGTTATGACAATGTTAAAATATAACAGCCGATGTCTACTCTACAAGATCTAAAGATATATAAAGAAAGGATGAAACAAAAATGGATAACAGGAAATAAAAAAAAAGTTGAGAGTTTTGATTGATGAACTAAAATGTGGAATTCCATCAGATATTTTCATTATTTCTAGACTCAAAAATGTGTGTTACATCAGTCCTGGCTCACTGTGACATACTAAGTATATCTCCAGACATCTGACCACAGCTCTGTGACTGACCATCAATACATCTTCCTATATATAAGAATGACACAACCATTACTGGCACCAAAAAGAAGGAGGGGGCCATTTCAATGACAGCAGAGACAGTGTTTCTCCACTCCGTGCCACTCCAACTCTGATCAGAAGACTGGCCTAATTCCCCCTCCCCCTTCCTACTCCCTCCACTTTAAATGATCACTATATTGCACGAGCTCCCCAGGGCAAACAAATCTCATACGGCTCCTACGGACTCCTGATCTCCCTCCAATGCAGCCATATTGGACTGTGCATTTGGTCCACTGGAATTCGTCCCATTTCCTAAGACTTTTGAGTTTGCTGTATTGGACCCTGACTGTTCAAAATTGGTCTCATGTTTGCCATTCAAATGACGAGAACCTGACTGGTCATTACTAATTATAGCACCGTTCTGAGAAATAGAGCCTTTTATGCCAATGTCGTTGTTGTTATGGTTGCTAGGCAATGGGGTGATCAGATCCCCTGCCAGTTCCATACGTAGTCCATTCATGCCCTCACTGGAATTGCTGTCAGTGCCAGTGAGTTTTGAGTGCAAATTAAGGTTTCCTGATACAGCCTCCTCCTCTGCGTCACTGTCCCCAGACTCTGAGCCAAAAGGATGTGTGGCTGGCAGGTGCATGTTCTTTATCTTGCTCATCCTCAGCTGCAACACCTACCATGTGAAAAAAAATGAAATAATGTCATTTATTGCACTAAAAGTAATGATTAATTTATAATAGCATATAACATAATAACTCTTCTTTCAAAAATGGGCAATTTCACCAGAAACTTTTATCTTTACAGAAAAAAGAAGGATATTTTGAACTTGTTTCACTTTGTGTCTGTTTCTGTTAAATTTCTTAAAAACTAGCTGCAAACACCAATATCTTTTATCCCAAAATGCATAGTATTTTTAAAAGGTTATCACTCCTAACTAAATCTTATCTTGTCCCTGACCTCATCCTGTAGATCAGCTATCCTGTTCTCCAGGTCCTGGGTCTCTCCTTTACTCTGTAACTGACCTGCAGTCACAAGTTCTTGGTTCTGGAAACAAAAGGATTCATCTTGAGCTACAAATCAATCTGTGCTTCATTTTTTTTTGTTTTGATTTAAAAACTTGACATGTATAAGGACCTTACTAAGTTTCTCTCCTGATCTTTTCTCTCAATCAACAGTTACATACAATTTGATATTTTATTTATATTAGGAAAACAATGCACAGCTGAGCTTAAGACAGATATCAAACTGCACTCTTTCAACTTATATGATTTCTTGGAATAAATATGTGCCTTTTTTTTTTGCTGATTTGGACACATATCTTCGCTCCAACACTACATTTGTGGCATGAGGTTAACTAGCATATTGGTAATTAAACCTACCTTTGGTGTGTGTTTTTTTTTTTTTTTTTTTTTTGAAAAATAAATTTATTATACCACATTAAAAAATAACTATTGCCATTGTTGTGTCTACTAAAATAGACATGACATCTTCATCCTCACCTGTATTTCCAGCTCTGCAATCTTCTGTCTCATTTCTGCTATTGTTGTAGAATGCTCAGCATTCTTTATTCTTGTCATCATACTTTCTTCTCTTACCTGGATTAAAAAAATCACCAATATATCCCATACCATTCCAATGATATATTTTTTAATTGTGAAGTTTCAGTGTACTGAAAAGTAAGTTTTTAGTGTCTGTATTCGGAGTAACTCTTTTTATCAACATTATATTACTGTAATTGTCTTGTTACATCAATAACAATGTACAAAAACACACAATTTGAAATCAATGCAAGAGTAAATAAAAATGTTTTATTTATGACTTCAAGGAATACAGTGACTTAATATTACAGAATAAATGTTACCCCTACCCTTGATTCACTGTCTGCAGATTTTCTTTCAAGTGCCAGTATTTCATTTCTCAACTCCTTTTCTTTTTCACCCATTGCTTCTATCTTATCTTTCAACTTTTTGTTTTCCTCATCCATTCTTCTGATCTGGTGGCTGCAGATTTGGTTCTGAAACAACAACCATTACAATTTCCATGATAAAGATTTAACAGTTGCTTCAATGAAGANGTGTGTTTTTTTTTTTTTTTTTTTTTTTGAAAAATAAATTTATTATACCACATTAAAAAATAACTATTGCCATTGTTGTGTCTACTAAAATAGACATGACATCTTCATCCTCACCTGTATTTCCAGCTCTGCAATCTTCTGTCTCATTTCTGCTATTGTTGTAGAATGCTCAGCATTCTTTATTCTTGTCATCATACTTTCTTCTCTTACCTGGATTAAAAAAATCACCAATATATCCCATACCATTCCAATGATATATTTTTTAATTGTGAAGTTTCAGTGTACTGAAAAGTAAGTTTTTAGTGTCTGTATTCGGAGTAACTCTTTTTATCAACATTATATTACTGTAATTGTCTTGTTACATCAATAACAATGTACAAAAACACACAATTTGAAATCAATGCAAGAGTAAATAAAAATGTTTTATTTATGACTTCAAGGAATACAGTGACTTAATATTACAGAATAAATGTTACCCCTACCCTTGATTCACTGTCTGCAGATTTTCTTTCAAGTGCCAGTATTTCATTTCTCAACTCCTTTTCTTTTTCACCCATTGCTTCTATCTTATCTTTCAACTTTTTGTTTTCCTCATCCATTCTTCTGATCTGGTGGCTGCAGATTTGGTTCTGAAACAACAACCATTACAATTTCCATGATAAAGATTTAACAGTTGCTTCAATGAAGATAATTTTCAAAATAGTACAAATTATTATTATTATTTTATTTTTGATGTCTTGTTCAGGTTATTCAATGTGAGTCCTGTTTCAAAAGAAGGCTTGGTAAACTTCTGTTTTACAGTGTTACTTAATGTACCCAGTGTACTTAATGTATGCAGAATGTGCATGGATGTGAGCATGTGCACGTGCACATACCTGCGTCTCCAGCTCCATGACCCTGGCCTTCATTTCCTTGACGTCTGCCAGGGACTCGGCCTCTCTCAGTTTCACCCCCATCAACTCATCCTGCAGGTTCTGGACCACTGCCTTGCTGTTCTTCTCCTTGGTTTTAGGACTGGCATTCACCTTCTCCCAGTATTTCTATGAAAATGTGATTTAAATTTTGCTAAATGTAAACTGCCTTTTTGTATACTTTTCTACAAAAGGTCATTTATACTTTATCCAAAAAAATTCTTTACAAACATCACAAGATACTTGTAGACAGCTTCTTTGTAGACATCACACACATGCAACATATTCAATATGCTAAGAATATGTCCAAATCTACAGTGCTGTAAAAATAAAGCTCTTTTTCCTTATCATCTAATCAGTTTTTTTTTTTCAACTTAATGATCAATTTCTAAAACCACCAGAGTATTACACCGCATTTTCTTACATCCCAATAGTCTGTCAAGTATTTTATCTGCTGCCTGAGTTCTTTTACAGCCAGGCGTCCCTCTGCCTCCCGTAACTTCACAGCGATCAGTTCCTCTTGGATTGAGGCGATCTCTGACTCTGGCTCTGTTTGCAGTCTTCTGTTTGTCTACAATGAGAATGATGAAAATGAATTAAGAGAATGGGAAGGCACATGCAGAAATTAGTAATTTTGAAACAGATGATAAGATCTGTTAAAATGGTTTATCCCTATATTGTGAAAATACCTCCAAAATGTTTTTAAAAAATAAAAATAAAATTCTGGCATGATCAGAAAATAATGATGAACACAAGCAGACTGACGCAGTTAACCACACTTACATTTTCTAATTCTCTAATCTTGTCCACCATTTCTTTGACATTACAGCTCTGGTCAGCAGCCTTGAGTCGCACAGTGACCAGCTCTGACTGCAACTGCTTGATGACCTCCTCCTGCTCACTGTCCACTGATGTAGTGGACGTTACACTGGACGTCTAAGAAAAATCATTTAATATGTTCATCTTCACTAGGATACTCTGAGATTAAAAAAAAAACTACATGCTTCCAATAATAATATCAATTGGGTTTCTACATCATACAAATTTTCTTAACTCAATGCCTTTACCTCTGTGTTTGTGTGAATATAAAAGAAGGAATGCAGTGCCACCTACCCTTTCTTTCTGCAACTGTTTGATGGTGTTTTGTGCCTCCTCCAACTGTTTCTTCAACTCCTCGTTCTGCGTCCTCATCCCAGACATGTCCCGCTTTAAGATGAACATTTCCTCTGCTTCCTGGGCTTTGGTCACCTGGTTGTGGATCAGTCTGTCTGCCAGAGTGGCAGTCTCCTGAAGAAATAATACATAAATTTAATACTTTTTTTAAATCTAAATTAAATGAATTCATATATATATATATTTTTTTTTTCGATATTTGTCATATTTGTTATAACTGTCATAAAGGACTATATGCTGCATCAAATTAAAAATTATGACATATCTATCCCGTATTTGAGCTGTTACTTATCACGTATGCCAAATGAAAGATAAATCAATAGACTTTTTAGATATTAAATTAATGTGCATCAACAGAAAATAAAAGCCAGACGAACGGTAACATGCTAGTACACATAAACACAATATTCAAACAACATTTAACAGTCTCTGAAAAAATATATATAATATCTTATTAAAGAAGACATGTATTCATTAAGAGGGGAGCATAAAAAACACAAATGACAAATGGGAACACCATGTCACAGATATTAACAAATGCACTCAGATGCTAACAATTTGTGTAAAACTTACGTGAGACTTATCCAACTGCTGTGAGGCAGAAATTAGGAAGACAGATACCATGTGAGGTTATTCAGTGCAAGACAATTGTGTGTCAAAAATATTTACACAAGACATAGCAGAAACACTGGCAGCTATTTATTCATTACTATATTATGTACAATGCTAAATTACAACATACTTCCTCAATAACATCCACTCTTAATATAACAGAATCACCAACTACCGTACCATTACATTGTCAATCAAAATAATTACGAAATGTTAACTAATGGTCAAATAGCATATCCCTAACCTGAATATTGCATAAATTGATAATTTTTATTGGCAATATAAATCCCCCCCCCCAAAAAAAGTAATAATAAATAAATAAATAAAACAAAAATTTAAATAAAGGAAGATGTAAGTCGAATTTTACAAGTTTGTTTATAATAGTAAAACAGTATTGTAATGTGCAAAATATTTTTCCCTTACAGTTAAACCTAAATTCAATCTGCCTACCAAACACCAAGCACCAAATATACCACTGTGTCACAGACTCACACACATATTTACACATATTACACTCACCATTTTTCAACCTCCCAAAATGATATTTCTCTGAGGTCATAAGTTTATTGGATTAATTTCCATAATGCTTTATGTGGTGAAATATTAACAGATTGCAACCCTTGTTGAAATCAGGGTCATTTTAGAATTAATTTTTTTAATCTTCATAAATCTATCACTGAAATTAATATAATATCTCCATTATCCCAAAAAAGCTTAGAAAAGCGGGACCAATTTAAAGGTTAATGGCATTGTTACAATGGTGTTTGCTAAATTTAACCTTGTATTTGAAGAAAAATATAGCAAACAATTTCTGTAACAAGAACTCTGTAGCTTATTAGCATTTCATGATATGTCACAAGAGCCTGTAACTCACCTTTTTCAGTAAACTGGGCATTTTTCTGGGAAACTTTACTACGTCTTTTTTAGGAATTGACTAGAGACAACAAATGTGAATGTATTTAATTTTCATTACAGTAACTTCCAGGCCTTTGCTTTATTTTACAGAAAATGTTTCCAAATGCTTGACTTATCCTTCTGAAGATTATTTAATTAAATTTGACACTTAAAATACCTACACCTTGTTTTTGAATCTGAAATTATGAGTTATCATTTAAATTTACTTATCAACCTGTGACGAATAAGCTGTTAATTACCCAAATGAAATTATAACAGTTTTTATTATAATTTTGTTGTATATACCATTTAAATTTTAAAGCTTAGTTCAGTAGCATTTTTCAGATGGTTGTTTTAGGCGTTTCCTAAACTGCAGCAAGTGACAAAACCCCAACTATTGTCAGTTATTTACTCTTAAAGACCATTCTGCTGCCCCTTCATTCACACTTCCTGTCACCAACAATCATGACCTACCACACACTATCACGGTTTTCTATGCAAAAAGAAATTTATTCAACTTTTCATTAATATACGTTATTATTATATTTACTGTAGATTTAAGGCATTTTGCATTTATTCATAATAATTCTTAATGTCTGCCGACTTGTAGAACAACAGTCACATTTTCTATAAGAATTATATGATTGTTCAGTAACTTAGTACATTCAACATATATAGTTAATCACCCAAATAATCTCACATACCTCACAAGCATCATTTAGTTCTCTAAGTTTTTAAGGCAGATTTCAGATATATAATAAATAAATAAATAAACAGAATTCTGTTCATCACCTGTGTGTGTGTATGTGTGCGAATATGTGTGTGTATGTGTGCGAATATGTGTGTGTGTGTGTGTGTGTGTGTGTGTGTGTGTGCGCGTGCATGCATTTCAGCAACAAGTTTGGACCTGACTTTCCAAAGTGACAATGAGAAAGCAGTGCAATGGCAGTGGAAGCAACCCAGTGCTATACCATTGTGAGAACCACCATGTCCACAGAAGACCCACACAAAAATTATATCAATGTCAAAGCCTCACACAAGAATTATATCCATTTTTTGCACCAGTAGCATTAAATGACTTTTTTCTTTTTTCTTGCAATCGATTTCTTTAATGTGTCACTTATTTTACTATAAAATTATTGTTTGATTTGTCTGGCTTTTTTAGTTATTTGGAAAATTAATATAATTCTTTGGTGGGCACAGAGACAGGCCACAGGTTTGTATAGTATATATTCCCCAGTTAATACTGTAAGTGATTGATAAAATAAATATACCTTTTCCAAGTTATCTATCCTTTGCCTCAGTAGTCGGTTTTCAGTCCTTAATCTCTGAAGAGAAAAGCAAGAAGATCAAAAATATAAGCAGTTCTCTTGCCTGGTCATAATAGTGATGCCATACAATTAGTACATGAACTGTTACATGTACCTGTAGTATAACTGAAGCTGATATTTTAAACGAGATTAGTGAAAGAGATTTTTAACTCTCAAAACAACATTTAATTATTAAAAAACTGATAAAAAATGTGTTACCCTTAATTCTATTTGTTCTTCATTCTCCTTTGCCTTCAATGTAGTGTATTCTTTTTCCAATCTGAAATGGAGAAATTCCAACTTAGTATACATCAATGCCAATGAATCAAAAACTGCTTTTTTAAAATGAAAAACTCCAGTGATTAGTACATAAAACTGACCTCGGGCCAAATGAAAATGCATCAATATTACTTTTGCTTGTCTTTGTAAATAAACCTCTCATCAACAATGCAAGAAAAACCATTTAGTTGGTTATCTTAATGCTTTCTTTGAACAGTTAATTATTACACTAACAAGATGATTAACAAACTACTCTTCTTAGTTCTGGAAAACAATATATTTTCTGCAGTACAACCCTCTGTGATAAAAGTCTCTTAAAGCAGCAAAAACACTTAATTAACAGGCACTCAAGTATCTCATTCATGTCCCAGTAAAGAAGATTTATTCTGCAGACTGTTAACTGGGTAATGATACCATCCTAAGTAGGCAAAAGTTGACCTTTATTGAATTAGCCAAATGGTCCCCATGATACCAGCTGTTTGAAAATAATCATTAGTTTTTTTTTTCACATCTCAGTGAAAACAGCTGTGTCATTCTGACAGAGGCCAGCCTCCCACCATGGCATGTTTTCCTCTGCTTATAATTTACGAACCTAGTTGGGCCGGGAAAGGGGGGGGGAGCAGATCAAACTTTAAATTAAAATTAAATAAATGAATAAAGTTCATACTGTGAGTAAAATGGACCTTACTGTCACATTTTCATTTGAATATAAAAGGATGAGCCTTCATAACTTTAGGTTGGCTATTTTAATAAATAAAACTGAATTAAAATTCAAAGAATGAGGTTAAATTACAAGCATGTCCTAATTTCTTTAAATAATTTAGAAAACCTACTTAATCAAAAAACAAGGACTGATCAGACATCATAGCATCCTCCATTACTAATTATAATATCAAAATACCATGTAGTCTGTGTAAAGTTGTAGTTGCATGACACAGCTAGGGAGGGAACGACAGTAGATGGGATATTTATTGCAATCAAATCCACATAATTACCTACAAAGTTCATTTGTCTTTTTTGTTTTTGTCACCCCACGGCAACCGCAAACCACTTCCTTTCAAAGTTACACTGATGTTTTCTGCTAAAAATACTTATATTGCTTGTAATGGATGAATTTCAACAAGGGTTCTTCAAATTAACATAAGAACTGTATACCAAGACACAATTCATATAACAAACACTTCTGAGGTGAAAGACTGAATTTGGGGCTTCTGAGACACCTTTAGAACAGTAATCATTTATTACATTCATTACCTTGAACAAAATGAAAAACACTGTCTATAGACTCAAGCACTGGTCAGACACAAAAAAACAACATATTTTATAGCAACAGAACTCTGTCTGTGCATTCATTGAATGAACATCTGTCACAAACTCACAGACCACTCCACTAAATCCAAAGTGGACAATTTCACAGTCATTCATCTTGAGTTAAAAACAATGACAGTATCACACTATCTACACAACAACATCCCATCTGCCACATGATAACTGAGTGTACATGGACTCTGAGCTTTTTTCTCTGACTTAATGGGGGTTATTAATGTCTTGATATCAAACTTGAAGATTAATCATCTTGTCATTTACACCATCAATTGAGGAATCACAGTTAGGTTATTCATAAATAGCCATGAGCAACCAGGGTTGCTATCTTTTTCTCATTCACTGTTATTTGTCATGCTTGAATGCATTATTATTATTATTATTATTATTATTATTATTATTATTATTATTATTATTTTAATTGAAATTTTTTAAACTGAGATAATGGGCATTTCATGAGAAGAATGGCATGTTTCTTATTGATAAAAGTTTAAAATCAGTAATGCAGATTTATAACAACTAACATATAATATCTATACCCACTCTTCATAAGTCTGGGGCAATTTTTTCTCCTCTTCCTCATCCTCAAACCCTGAGAACTCTATGGTGTACATGGTGCACAGTTCATATGTACAAGTTACTATTATAATTCTATATCACATGCACTTCCCTGAGAATTAAAACATGATGCATATTGTAGTTGGTAAAACTACATGTAGTTGTATGTTCCCACGTATGACAATGATTCCTACAAAGCAGTCAGTAGTTTCCTGAGAATGGCATATAATTTTGATATCCTGTACTGGATCTTTGTCTGTTGACAGTCAAGAAATTGTGTATTTACGACTTGCTGTACTGCACTTTGTCAGTTTTCTACTCAGTTTATTCCTAATATCTACTCCATTTAGCACATTGTTTCTTGTGGGGTTTAATCTTGTGCAAAAGAGAAACTCTAAAACACATCAATCCATTGTCAAGACAACAAAATTTCAATCTAGACATATACATATATTGCACACCTAGCATGGGACATCTCATGGTATTCTGGTGTCACTTTCTTGCTGGAGGCCAGGCTCCAACTTTCCACAGTAGGCGGCCTTGTTCACCGATACCAAGCATGTCAAAAAATAAATAAAAACTCCCCTCTGTCAAGTATTCAGGATCTATAATTAATCCTACTTGTCTTTTTTTTTTTCAGGTACTCCCACATAAAACTGGACTAATGTCTATGTTGTAGCACTGTAGATGAAAAATTAAATCCCAGTTTGTCCTGCTGCATGAACGTCCCTGTCGCCAATTGCTCCTCCATTCACATATCTTATGGTCTAACAGTTTATATTATACACTATACTTCTCTGTCCTCTGGCTAGCTGTCAGAAGGATAATCACAGGGTTAATGAAGGACATTTAATTCCTAGTGTGTGTGTAGATGTGCATAACTGTTCAGTGCTGGTAGACTTCAAAGCAATGCATGCATATATTATGACCAGTATATAAGTCCAAGTCATCTGTCACTGTGACTGCCTCTCTCTTTTCAGGTAGACTTGGACACATATTAAGTATATGGGTATAGTAATTCCATGCTATGGCTTTTCTCAGGTAACCCTGGACACTTATTAAGTGTGATCACAGAAAATATTCTGTATGCCTCTGACTAGGTTTACGACATCAGAGAATATTTTGACCAAGTCATATCTTGCAGTGATCCAGTGATGATTTCATTGTCAAAAAGAATCACAGACTTCAGATATTTCTGGCTGCACATGGTATTTTCCAATACAAGCTGCTCCTATTCTCTCTCTTCTTGCAATATATATATATCCAGTAGCTAACACTTCCCTCTGTATATATCCTGTTTGGTTTAAGTGAAGCCTGAGATAATGATAATGATGATGGCATCTACCTGTACAGCTGAGCACCCTTCATACCTAAATCTACCATTTCTAGAGAACTGACACTGTGTTAATGTTCTCCAAACACTATGAATATATATCCTTCTTAAACACAACAACTTGTGCAGTCCTCTTAATGGTGTGCCATCCTCTTTTCATGCTACAGGTGAAAAAATATATACAGGAATTCCTGTGTCAATTCTGCTTTCCACAATGAACTGTTACTTATCAGGTCCAACCTGACACTTATCTCAGCTTACAGTCACAATGGGTTTGATTTCATGATATTGTATGCCCCACTAGCATTTGTAGTCTATAGTCGATCAATGCTGTGTGACACCAGCAGTAACAGTTGTATATGTTAAGTTTGTCTTCACTCTCTCTGTAACAAAGACTGTATAATATTGGTTTTACACAATCCAGTTAGTTCATACTACCATTGGAATTTTACATCAAAAAGATAAATGATTCAGATATAACACATCATCATGGAAGTCGTGTGTGAAGTTTCTGCTTTCTGACCCTGTCACGAAGCGTTATTTCAATCATCTCCAGTATTTCACTCATTGGAATTCTCCCATACATCAATGGTCCATGATACTGTCACAGACTTTTTAAGTGCAATCCTGTGTTACCAGATCCAGTAAGATGCTCCAAGACAAACAAATGCAATGACCCTGCAGTTAAAATACAATACCCCTAAAGCCTAAAAGGTAACATGTACTGTGATTATATGCACCAGGTACAAAACCCTAGTATCCTCCAATACGAGTCAGGTGTCTATGTGCATTTACACATGCCAGGAATATACATGTACCAGTATACAATGTTGCATGTCCATTAGCCATAAGACCACAAATACACCCACACCGGGTAGTACAAATGGTGCCCGTTCCCCACTTCACTGTGTATTATTCAGAATACTAATTAAAGTAAAGAACATCAGAGCTCTGTAACATGTAGAGTGTGGTATAGCCCCAGAGGTACACCTGTTACTATCTCAGGGTCCCTGCAAAGTTCCAGCTCTGGCTTAAGTCTACTGTTCAAAAACATATCACTGCCTGAGAGAGCACCTGTCTTTGCCCCAAGGTACCTTGAATATGGTTCAACAAGGTGCCAGCCTTTACTTGAACAGTCTACTAATACAGCGTTAACTTGATATCTGCGTAGTTTCCACCAGGATACTCGTGTTTCATGAGGCGCACATAAAACAATTCACCTGTGAACATTTCCATGTGACACCCAGGTGAACATTCACATGGACATTAAATAAACTAATTGTCAACAATCTCCTGCCCTAGTACCACTTTATATAGCACCAGTACCCAGTCTCAGGTAAGATATGAGAATGTCCAGTATAAAATATTGGTCATTTATGTAGTGTCCAGTCTGACCACCAGAGTGTGGAATCACAAGCTGTAAGTTCAAATAAGTGGACGTCTCAGGTGACACTTTTTCACCTGATCCCTGCCCATTAAAATGTGTCCTTGCCCTCACAGTGACCCAACTTAACTGCAATCCACCAGTCTGAATGTGACACCTAAAGAACACTAGATTGCTGTGATGCTATCTGTTTTCTTCTATGCCGCAAGGTTCAAGTTATTGCTTTTCAGGAATGCTGGTTTCATCTTTTGTTGTATATATTATAGACACATGACTTCCAATGGAAATGTGCTTGATTCAAATCAACTCCCTCCGCATCCTGGAGTTCTATGTAGATTAAAAATTATCTATGTAATGTAATGAAGTCTATCAGGTATAATACCTAGGCTTATTAAAGTGACCA